GACATCGGAGACCAGCATCCGCAGGTGGCGCAAGCGTGGGCGGAGTTCATGCAGGATCAGGGTGTCGCCGAGGAGCCTTGCAGTTGATCTTTTTAAAAAGGCCCCCCCCCCCTTGGCCACAGAAGAGATAAGGTATGTTTAAAGCCTACTACTAAACGGAGGAAAAGTGTGCTTTAAAACGCTAAGAAGTCCGTTATAAGCTGCTTATAAATTATGGCCCCCCCTATTCCTCTCTCTCTTAAAGCAAAAGCCGCGCGAAGAGGAGCTAATCCCGATCGACAAGTCGGGCAGATACCTCAAGAAGACCAGGGAGATCAAGGTGGACATGTCGAAGATGCGGCCCTTCCAAGATTCCAACAAGTGATGAAGTAGGGGGGGCTTTAAAGGTTTGTGGGGGGGGGGGGGGGGCGGGTTTAGGAAAAGTAAGGCGGAACCGAACAGAGACCCGCAAAAATAGAAGGGGATTTCCTTATACGAAGGATCCTATAAGGAGGTACCACCCCCCCCCCCCCCGAATTTCGGAAACCACCATGTATTGCTGTAGCTGTGCCAGCATCAGCGAAGAGACGCACTGTTCAGCCCCAATGCTCCGGTTGCTCTTGTAGCCTTTTCCAGAGAGCCCAATACCCCTATATTAAGGAAGAAAATTTAAGTTACATAGGGATCCTTAAAATAAGATTTGAGGCATACTCCGTATTTAAGGGGTCTTGGGCTCTTTGGGTTCGGGCCCGTCGGCCACAAGTGCTGTGGGCTTCTTCTGCTCCTGTTGCGCTTTAGAGGTAGGAGCTGGGCTTGCAGGGAGTTTCAGGAATTCCGTCCGGAGACAGGCGCCACACAAGGGCGCGCGAAAGCCCTAAAAGCGCTGGGCTAGACCCCTAAACCCTATATTTCTTGGTAGAGGCTTTAGGTTTAAGGGTGTTTAGATTTCAGGGTGTTTGGGGTCAGGGTTCGGTGTGGGGTTTAGGGTTTCGGCTCAGGCGGATCAGGAAGGCGTGTGCGTTAGGGCTTGGGGCTCAGGGTTTGGGTTTTAGGCTCCGCCGCAATACCTAGGATCCTCTTTTTGAGGCTTAGGCTACCTTATACGCAAAGAAGGGCACGGTTGTTTCTTAGATGGGGAAGCCTGTACTCAGAGAGCCTCAGAACGACTTACAGGCTTGCAAGGTTTTGCAGAACTTGGCGCCAAAACCCTGAACCCCGCGTTTCGGTTTAGGCTTTCGGGGCCCGCCGTGAAGTCGCAACAATGACCTGACAACCCCAGTCCCATGAAGTCTTGTCCGCAGAAGAGGGAGCTAGGGCATGGTCGGCTTCGTGCTTAGGGTTTATATAGGAGGGTTTAGGGCTCTGTAGGGTTTAGGGCTCTGTAGGGTTTAGGGCTCTGTAGGGTTTATAACTTTCTAGCAGATCCCAATGATCCAGGCCGGGGGTTCGAGCTGAGGGCTTCTGTTTTCGCTGTTGCTTTCGGCGCAAGGCACCCACAACAGCCCCCCTTGGCTTTCGGTCTCTTTGTTGAGATTTCGGGAATAAGGGTCCCCACACAAAAATCGCTTTCAGAAGGGCTTAGCAAGGGGGTCCCTCATTCTCGACGAAGACTTGACTAAGAACCAGTACTTCTTGGCAAGTCTCTGTTGCGGGTCTTTTGCTGACAGTTCAGTGCCAACCACCGGTAGCTAAGGTAGATAAATCGCAGAACTCCGGAACACGTCCCCCAGGCCAGGGCGGAGAGGGCGTCGTCGTGGCCGCATTCCGTGGCGGCGGGCACGCTGCAGGCGCGAGGGCGCGCAGAAGTCCCGTTCTGAACGGTTTAACGCCCAAATCTCATATGGTTTTTCGTTGAAATTCTGTTCAAACGGGCCTTGATTTCCTGCTAGTCTAGTTCTATTATTATTGTTACTATATATATATATATCTCTCTCTCTCTTCCTCCCAAGGAACCTCAAGGTCTTCAGGAATGGAACTCAGCACTGATTCCCGTTGTCCCTCCCCTCTTACGTGCTGTCTCAGGAGCTTCGGGCGGCTTGCACATGGTGGTCAGCGCCCACGGCAAGGCCGCCGCAGAAATGGTTGTAGTGGAAGGTGAGGATGAGCTAAGAAGCCCAAAACCCCTAAAGTCCCTAAAGCCCTAAAGCATCCTAAAGCCCTAAAACCCCAAAGCCCCCAAAAACCCTAAAGTCCTAGAGCCCCTATGGCTGCTATTTGACTACGACTCATACTGTTCTTACGATTCGTGCTATGGCTATGACGACTCCGAATACTTTTGTTCGTATATTTGCTCTTTCAGGTTTACCCAAAAGGCTCCTATGTAGTACCTTTTTTGGGGTAGTATACTAGAATCCCCAATAACTAACTTAAAAAGGAACTACATTGGAGCTTATGGGTAGGGTCCAGAAGGGCCTCCGTTTGTTTCGATCAACTCGGGTAGGAGTTTCAAAATCAGCAAGCTTGCAGTTTATTTCCATCCTCTCATCTGACAACCCTAAACCCTTAGCCCTAAACCCTAAACCCCAAACCCTAAACCCTAAACCCTAAACCCTAAACCCTAAACCCTAAACCCTAAACCCTAAACCTTAAACCCTAAACCCTAAACCCTAAACCCTAAACCCGAAAGTGAGGAGAGATGGACTCGGAACGCTGTGCCTTGCCCACAGGCAGAGCTCCAAGCCGCGAATGACGGCGAAGGACGCTCGGGGCATCCCAGGGCTTCCACCATGGGTTTGAGGGTTTCAGGGGTTTAGGGTTTCAGGGGTTTAGGGTTTAGGGTTTCGGGTTTAGGGTTTGAGGGTTTCAGGGGTTTAGGGTTTGAGGGTTTCAGGGGTTTAGGGTTAGGGTTTAGGGTTTCAGGGGTTTGGGGTTTAGGGTTTAGGGTTTCAGGGTTTGGGGTTTAGGGTTTAGGGGTTAGGGTTTTAGGGGTTTAGGGTTTAAGGTTTAGGGGTTTTGGGGTTTAGGGGTTCAGGGGTTTAGGGGTTTAGGGTTTAGGGGTTTAGGGGTTTAGGGGTTTAGGGTTTAGGGGTTTAGGGTTTAGGATTTAGGGTTTAGGGGTTTAGGGGTTTAGGGGTTTAGGGTTTAGGGTTTCAGGGGTTTAGGGCTTCAGGGGTTTAGGGTTAGGGGTTTAGGCGTTTAGGGAGCGGCAAGGGTTTGAAGGGTTCACACGCGAAACCCTCGGGTTGTGTGGCTTTCGGGGTGCCACCTTGAACGCGCCTCATTCTAGGGATCCATGACTCCCCTAGTTACAGTTGTGCCCCAAAAGGTTCCCTTGATTTTGTGGGTCCCCAAACCCAAGGAGGCAAAGGTTTAGGGGTCCAAAAGGTTCAGGGTTTAGGGTTTAGGGCTTAGGGTTTAGGGTTTAGTTTAGGAGTTTAGGAGTTTAGGGGTTTAGGGGTTTAGGGGTTTAGGGGTTTAGGGGTTTAGGGGTTTAAGAGTTTAGCGGTTTAGGGGTTTAGGACTTTAGGGCTTGAGGGGCTTAAAGGTTTAGGGGTTCATGGGGTCCCAAAGGTACTTGGAGGTTCAGGGTACTTATAGTCCCAATTATAACTGCACTTATAAGCCCCCTAAGTCCTCTAAGTAGGTTATAAGTAGACTTATAATAGGGGTCATAAGTACCCATGAACCTCCAAGTAGAGCCCCTTGGTCCGCGCAAGGCGTGAGCTACGGCGGCTACGCCAAGGCCGGGAACGACCGTGGTGCTCTCCTGAAGTACGTACGATAAGTGGGGGTTTTGCGAAAACAAAAGGTTTAGGGTTTAGGGTTAAGGGTTGAGGGTTGAGGGTTGAGGGTTGAGGGTTGAGGGTTGAGGGTTGAGGGTTGAGGGTTGAGGGTTGAGGGTTGAGGGTTGAGGGTTGAGGGTTGAGGGTAATAGACCCCCCAAAATAGCAGGATCCCTTGTAAGACGGACCCCAATAAGGTACCCCTAATTTGTGGAAACCCTCAAGTAGGGTTTTGGGCTTAGACGGCTCACAGGCAGTTTTGCAATACGACGGCTTCAGGGTCAGGGCTTGGTTATGGGCTTGAGGGTTTAGGGTTTAGGGTTTAGGGTTTCAGAAAGAATGGCTTGAGTCTTGTTCATCTGTTCCCTTGGCGAGGAGATCGACTCTGAATTCTGTGGGGTGCTTTCCGGGAGTTCTCGTGGGGATGTTCTTGGAGCCCCTAAACCCGAAGCCCTAAACTCTGAACAACCCTAAGCCCTAAACCGTAAACCCTACACAACCCTATATAAACCGTTTAAAGCTTAAACCTTAAACCTTAAACCTAAACCCCAACCATAAACCCTAAAAACCCTAAAAAAAAGGAGCTTCAGAGGCTGAAAAGGACCTAGCTGCACACGCCGCCTTCTTGGCTCAGCTTGGCCAGACCGCCAGGGTCCCCCGGTAGGGTTCAGGGTTTAGGGTTCAGTGTTCAAGGGTTCAGGGTTTAGGGTTCAGAGTTTAGGGTTTCGGGTGTAGGTGTTTGGGCGTTTAGGTGCTGCGGACTAGTAGTGTTCTGGGGTTGAGTCTCTTGGGATTTGCAGTGTTTGGGGTTTAGGCGTTTCTTTGCCCTGGCCAGTAGAGGTTTTGAGTCTGTGCAGTTGAGGCCGCATACGGTTCAGGGGACCTGCTTTGAGGAACCGGCTTGCTACAACGATCAGCCCTCCACCCTGAACTGCCTTCAAACGGTTAGTCTTGTTTAGATCCTCATTCAGCGATGAATCACGCAACCCATCAAACAATTCAGGGCACAATTCCCCTGCCCTGTGGGGGGCCACAGGGAGGTAGTACGTTCTCTGCACCTGTTTAGCCCGGAGCTCAACCCATCAAAAACTGAACGGGCTTACACAGAATACCCCCCGCCTAAACCCCAAACCCTCAGCCGTAAGCCGCCCTAAACCCTGAGCCCCACCTGAACCCTGAACCCCCTCCTTACTCATGATTATTCTTCATTCAGAATAACCCTAAACCCTAAACCCTAAACCCTAAACCCCAGTAATCAGCACGGGGCAACACTCCCGGAGCCATCTCGCGTGTGGGCCCATGAGCTCCTGGCAGCAGGCGGGCAAGTTCCTTGAAGGCTTAGTTTAGGGTTTTTAGGTTTTTAGGGTTTTAGGGTTTTTAGGGTTTTTAGGGTTTTTAGGGTTTTTAGGGTTTTTAGGGTTTGTAGGGTTTGTAGGGTTTGTAGGGTTTGTAGGGTTTGCAGGGTTTTAGAATTCTATAGGGTTTTAGGGTAACAGGCTTTGTAGAGGGTTTAGGGTTTTGGGGATTTTTAGGGTTTGAGGCTTTCAGGCTTTGACTTTTGCAGGGTTTTAGGTTTTTAGAGTTCTTGGGTCCTAGGGTTCTAGGATGTTAGGATTTTCAGTGTGTTACGGTTTTTGGATGTTACAGGGTTCTAGGGTTTTAGGGTTTAGGTTTGTAGTAGAAGCCAAAAAGTTGGAAACTCAATAGCCTCAATCCCTAAGGGTAAAGTGTAGGGGATCCCAGCACTACTTGTCCTTAAAAAGGTTTTCAACTTTTTGGGGTTTACTGTAGGTGTTAAAGGATGGGACCCAAGAGGGGCGAATAACAAGGGGTCACAAATCACTTGCTGCCCATCTCATCGGGCTTTTGTGGAAACGCCTGCCACGGGGGGGGGGGGGGGGGCGGCTGGGTTTAGGGTTTAGGGTGTTTAGGGTTTAGGGTTCAGGGTTTAGGGTTCAGAGTTTACGGTTTAGGTAATGGTCTAGGGTTTAGGGAGCGGATGCGTCGTGCTAAGAGTGACAAAAGCCTTAGGGGTTACAGAAAACCTAAGCCCTAAACCCTACACCCTAAACCCCAAACCCTAACTCAAAACCCTCAACCCTAAACCCTCTACACCTAAACCCTGGGGGTTCTAAGGGTTCAAAAGGAGCCTTTGCGAGCAAACGAGGCCGTGTCGCTGGACCTCGCCAAGGGCAAGAAGCGCAAAGACAGCCGCTGGGTTTAGGGTTTAGGGTTTAGGATTTAGGGTTTCGTGTTCTGGGATTCAGGGGGGTATAAGGGCCCAAAGGGTTTAGGGTTTAGGGTGGGTCATATCACAACAAGCTCCACGGAGCTTGGGTCGGAGGGTGTTGCACCAGGGATTGGGTGGCTTTCCTAAACTCCCTAAATTCCCTAAGCTCCCTAAGCTCCCTAAACTCCCTAAACCCTTAACCTGAGGGTGCCGTCGAAAAGTCGTGCTCTTCCCCTCTCTCTCCGTCCTTAAACTTAAAACTTAAACCCAACACTTGAAAAAGGCCCGAGTGTTCGGTTGCATCTAGGGAACCCTATTGAGATCCTCAGCCCTAGGCTCCCCCAACGACTGAACTCCTCCCTAGAAACCCCACAGCTCCTCGAAGCCAACCCACGGGTGGCAAACAGAAACGATAGTCGCTTCTATCGAAAGAGCATCGACGATCTGTGAACATCGCGCCCTCGCCCTCGCCGATGACCGTGCCAGCATCCCCCGCCCCTTCGACAACATCGCTGCCTACACCCGGGCCCTTCACTCAGCCCATCGTTCCGACAGAGAGACAGTGGAGCAGAGGAGAAGGCGGATGGCCACACCAGTGAGCACGAGATGGGTTCGGACACGGCATCTTACGTAGCGGTGGTGTATCTGCGGAGAAGGACTGAGAGGGCCATCAGATAAAGTTTTGACATCGGCGCCCGAACCCTAAACCCTTGTCATAACCCTAAACCCTAAACCCTAAACCCTAAACCCTAAACCCTAAACCCTAAACCCTAAACCCTAAACCCTAAACCCTAAACCCTAAACCCTAAACCCTAAACCCTACGTGCGAAGCTTCGAGGCCTTGTGGTCCTCAACGGCAACCAGCAGAAGAACCTCCGCACCGGTCGGGATGAGCCGCTTGGACTCGGGATCTTAGGGGTGGGTTTAGGGTTTAGGGTTTAGGGTTTAGGGTTTAGGGTTTAGGGGTTAGGGGTTTAGGGGTTTAGGGGTTTTGGGGTTTTGGGGTTTAGGGGTTTAGGGGCTTTGGGGTTTTGGGGTTTAGGGGTTTTGGGGTTTTGGGGTTTCGGGGTTTAGGGGTTTAGGGGTTTAGGGGTGCAGGGGTGTAGGGGTTTAGGGGTTTAGGGTTTTAGGTGGACGAGTGCGGGGTTTAGGGGTTGAGGGTCTAGGTGAATTGTCATGGGATTAGGGGTTTAGGGCTTAGCTTCAAGAGGGTTTCAGCCGAGGGCGAGGCCGAAACAAGGATTCTACGGTGAGGGTTGATCTACATCATGCGTGCATGTTCAGTCTGTACAACTGCATATTCCTCGTCGTTCAGGGTCTTAAACAAAGTGCCCTACAATACCATTCACCCCTTCGCATCCCCACCCCATCTTCCCTGAACCCTCCTAGTTATAGGGTCAAGTTCTTTTTCAGGGGCAAACCGATCAGGACGGCGTATGGGGGCGGATGGCAGACAGCCTTCGGCAAAGGCCCCTAGCCTTCGTCGAAACCCTTGGCCTTCGTCGAACCCCCCTTCCGGCCCTTGTGGCCTTCGTCGAACCTCCGGCGTTCATTTAGCCTTCGTCGAACCCTCGCGTTTTTTTCGGGCTTTGTCTTGGCCTTTGGTATCGGCCTTCGTCGAACCCCCTCCCCCTTCATCGAACCTCCCGGCCTTCGTCGAACCTTCGCCCGGCCCCCCGGCCTTCGTCGAACTTCGTCTCGGCCCGTTGGTATCCCGAGTCTTCGTCGAAGTTCCCCGGCCATCCTGCTCTTCGGCCATCCTGATGTGTTTTCCCCTTACTTTTAGCCGTCAGGAACCTACCTAAACCCTAAACCCTAACCCCAAACCCAAACCCCAAACCCTAAACCCTGAACCCTGAACCCCGAACCCTAAACCCTAAACGCTAAGCCCTAAACCCTAAACGCTAAACCCTAAACCCTAAACCCTAAACCCTAAACCCTAAACCCTAAACCCTAAACCCTAAACCCTAAACCCTAAACCCTAAACCCTAAACCCTAAACCCTAAACCCTAAACCCTAAACCCTAAACCCTAAACCCTAAACCCTAAACCCTAAACCCTAAACCCTAAACCCTAACCCTAAACCCTAAACACCCAAAAGGGCCGCTGCAGAACCCGGACGCCACAGGTGCGACATGGCAGAGTGGATCTGCGATAACTGCGCAGCTGGGCCGCCTTTGGGTAGCTTCCGGTTTAGGGTTTAGGGTTCAGGGTTTAGGGTTTGGGGTTTGGGGGTTTGGGGGTTTGGGGGTTTGCGGGTTTGGGGGTTTGGGGGTTTGGGGTTTAGGGCTGAGGGCTTAGGGCTTTGGGATTAGAGTTGTACCTTTGGGGTCCCGTCCCGGGCAAACATTTTCAACCTGTATGTTCGTCGAAATGGCAGCAGCATGTCTTCGCCCAGTCTGAGCTGGAGTGAGAATCTGGTGCTGCCTAGCACAAGCATCCCAGCAAAGGAACAGACATCCACAGAAATGCCACGCATCCTTGCATGTCGTGCGTATATATCTATATATGTATGTATGTATGTATGTATGTATGTATGTATGTATGTATGTATGTATGTATGTATACATACATGTATGTATGTATGTATGGACGTATGCCTGGATGTACATCTTGAACGTGGACGCATTCGAACACAAATGCTGCAATTCGGGCGTAGCCAGGCCGAAAGCGCAGGAAACAAGAGCAGAAACTCAGGCATCAGAATTCAGGATTCAGGAACCCCGGCCAGCCAACGCAAGAATCGGACGCGTGGAATCCACAAACACACACACACACACACACATGCGGACATTTCAGGGACTCGTCTTTCATCTTTCGCAGCTCTAGGGCGATCACACGGATGTTGGGATTTAGCACTCAGGCCTTAAAGTCCTAAACCCTGAGCCCTATAAACCCTTTAGGGTTTAGGGTTTAGGGTTTAGGGTTTTGGGTTTAGGGTTTCGGGTTTAGGGTTTAGGGTACCACCTTTAGCCCCCCCCCCCCCCCCCACCTGCAGGATACCGCCATGCCAGGATTCTACCAGCGGTGCAGACGCTCTGATGCAGAGATTCGGGTTTAGGGTTGGGGTTTAGGGTTTAGGGTTTAGGGTTTAGGGTTTAGGGTTTAGGGTTTAGGGTTTAGGGTTCAGGGTTCAGGGTTTAGGGTTTAGGGTTTAGGGTTTAGGGTTTGGGGTTGCCCCAAAACTTGGGTTCTTTGGGTTATGAAAACCAGGATGCGGAGTTTGGGCTCCGAATCGCCGCATGTGCACGCTCTGGCATGTCTAGGATTTCGCGTTCAGGGTTCAGGGTTCAGGGTTTAGGGTTTAGGGTTTAGGGTTGATGGTTTAGGGTTTAGGGTTTAGGGTTTAGGGTTGATGGTTTAGGGTTTAGGGTTTAGGGTTGAGGGTGTTTCTAGACCTCGGAAAAGGAATATCGGTACATGTTTGCGTTCTTGCGGCTGCCAACGCTGGCCTCTCCTTGCAGCCAGAACGCTTGCTTGGGCATTTTTGTTCAGGTTGACTACCTTTCGATTCGTCAGTAACACCGCGGCCGAATGCTCCGCCCAGAGCGGGGCAGTGAACAAGGTCGACTTTCGTAGGGTCTGCATCCATAGGCTTAAGAGTTCGGACGTCGGACGTCGAAGGCCTCCCTTTCTATGCCCAGATAAAAATCACTCAAACGCAGCGTTGAATTGAGCTAGTTTGTTGTGCCCTTGTTTGGGTAATACTACCCCCCCCCCGCCCCCACTCCCCAACTCCTGCAGCCCCGTAACTCCCGCAGCAAGTAAGCGTAGTTAGCCTGAAGGGGATAGGGGGCCCAACTCAAGATTATTTTCTGTCTATGGGATTCCTGAGCCTTAACCCCTAAACCCTAAACCCCCCAAACCCTAGTCCAAGCTTGCGGGGACCCTTGAGGTAAATGTGAGATCCTCCGGCCGGAGCAGCGGGCAACCCGCCGAGAGCTCTCGGACTGCAAGTGTTGGGGAGAATGTTGCTTATGGCTTTAAGGGGTTAGGGATTAGGGTTTAGGGTTGAATTAGGGTGTAGGGTTTAGGGTTTAGGGTTTAGGGTTTGGGGTTAGGGTTTCTCGTTCCCTGTAAGTTCGGATCTGGAGGTTGCAGGACCATCAAGACGCTGGCGGTTTTGGGTTTTAAGTCACTGACTGTGTCATTCCTACGACCTATGAACCCTGGATCCCCCAAACCTCGAAACCCCAACCTATGTAGGGTGTACCTTCTTGGGTCCAGAATCCTACTATTTGGGGTCCATATTTGGGGTCCCTTATTTTCGTGAACCCCCACAAGAAGCCCTAAACAACCCCTGAACCTGAGTATCCTTCTCTGCGTCACGCGCCGAGCACATGGGTAGTTCTCCAAATTTTCTTCGGGTTTCGGGTTTAGGGTCCTTTGGGAGCTAAACCCTAAACCCTAACTAAACCCAAAACACAAAACCCTAAACCCTAAACCCTAAACCCTAACTAAACCCTGAAACCAAAACCCTACGAATCCCTCATGTATGTAAGGTGCCGTACTAAAGGACCCAGAGAAGGCTACTCAGGTCCCACTTGGAGGAGCTCCAGAAGGCAGTTCCTCAAAGGGTGAGGGTTCGCCATACAACTGAAGCCCTAAACCTTAAACAACCCTAAACCCTAAACCCTAAACCCTAAACCCTAAACCCTAAACCCTAAACCCTAAACCCTAAACCCGGGGGGGGGGGGGGGGGGGTTGACACTCCTGCAAGCCCGAGGCTTCGGGCCAAAGAAGGCGAGATTGGCCGAGGCGGCGGCTGGAAGGAGCCGACATCCTAGGGTTTATTAGGGTTTGGGGTTTAGGGTTTGGGGTTTATGGTTTAGGGTTTGGGGTTTAGGGTTTGGGGTTTAGGGTTTAGGGTTTTGGGGTTTGGGGTTTGGGGTTTAGGGTTTGCGGTTTAGGGTTTAGGGTTTGGGGTTTAGGGTTTGGGGTTTAGGGTTTTGGGGTTTGGGGTGTTTAGGGCTCAGGACGCTGGACTTTCCAAGCTCCGAAATCTCATGAAACGGATCGGGGGCATGTCGAAAATCGACCGCCTGCTGGATAACTTGGTGGCGTGAACTACTGTGCCCTGACCGGGTTTAGGGTTTAGGGTTTAGGGTTTAGGGTTTAGGGTTTAGGGTTTAGGGTTTAGGGTTTAGGGTTTAGGGTACTAGAAACTCACGTGGACTTGGCTTCAATTGATCGTGGAATCAGTGTATTCCTTTCATTTCGGAGGTTTTACAGAGGCCCAAAGCTAGGTCAACCGCCCCATATGCAGGCGTTTGTTGAACCCTCGAGGCCGAAACGGTAAAACTGCAATACCCTTACAACACAAAGCTCTCAAGTCTAAGCCCTCAACCCTAAACCCCAAGCCCTTAACCCTAAACCCTAAACCCCTAAACCCCTAAACCCCTAAACCCCTAAACCCCTAAACCCCTAAACCCCTAAACCCCTAAACCCCTAAACCCCTACCCCTAAACCCCTAAACCCCTAAACCCCTAAACCCCTAAACCCCTAATCCCCTAAACCCCTAAACCCCTAAACCCCTAAACCCCTAAACCCCTAACCCCTAAACCCCTAAACCCCTAAACCCCTAAACCCCTAAACCCCTAAACCCCTAAACCCCTAAACCCCTAAACCCCTAAACCCCTAAACCCCTAAACCTAGGCCTCAAGGGCTTCAAAACATCTCCGCAGGAGCGCCAGAGCGAGGACGATCGCCGAGCCCCACGGCAGCCTTTACGCGGCTCACATCCTCGGTTTGGGGGTTTAGGGTTTGGGGTTTGGCCCGGTTTGGGGTTTTGGGGTTTTGGGGTTTGGGGTTTGGGGGTTTAGGGTTTGTAGAAATTGTGTAGGGTCTGTGTGCGGAGTTTTGTCAGGTTTTTCCGGGTTTTTTGGTAGGTTTTGCCGGGTTTGGTTTTTTATGTTTCCAACTTCGTTTTGGGTGGTTTTGGTTTTGCGGGGGTAGGGGGAGTGCAGCGGCAGGGAGAAGGCGGGGGGAGGGAGCCTTTTGGTCTTTAGGGTATAGGGTTTAGGGTTTAGGGTTTAGGGTTCAGGGTTTAGGGCTTAGGGTTTAGGGATTATTGTAGCCCATCGAGCATGCGAGCTCTGAGAAATTGAAGGATCATAGCAGCCACTCGAAATGGCAAGTTCTCAGGGAACCACATACAAGTTCTATTTGTCCTGGCCCTGAGGGTTTCGGGTTTAGGGTTTAGGGCAAGTTCCAGGGCCTTTTGGGGTTCCAAGGGCTGTTTTGGACAACTAAGAAACCGCAATCCCAGAACCTTACTGACGATAAGTTTCACAAGCATCTCAGCCCGAAGTCTGAGGATTTGGGTTTAGGGTTTAAGGTTTTTTTTGTTTAGGGTTTAGGGTTTAGGGTTTAGGGTAGGGTTTAGGGTTTAGGGTTTAGGGTTTAGGGTTTGTTCCACCCAAGATTTTCTACAACCCACATGGAGACAGGGAACCGCTGTATACACCACACCCACATGGGCTTGCCCCTATGCCCTACGTGGCCTCAACCTTCATCCCTTTGAGGGTTCAGGCGTTACGCCCGAAAGGGCCCAATCCTTAAACCCTAAACCCTATATAAACCCTAAACCCTAAACCCTAAACCCTAAACCCTAAACCCTAAACCCTTAACCCTTAGCCCTCCCTTAACCCTTAACCCTTAACGCTTAACCCTTAACCCTAAACTAAACCCACCCCTCCCCACCCCCCCCCCCCCCCCCAAATGCTGTTCCTGAGGAGTGGAACAGCGACGGAGAGGAGCCGTGGGCGCGCTCTTAGCCAGGGGAACTTCTGTGGGACACCTCAGCGGGTTTAGGGTTTAGGGTTCAGGGTTTAGGGTTGAGGGTTCAGGGTTCAGGGTTTAGGGTTTAGGGTTTGTGGGTCTGTTTGGTTAGGGGTTAGGGATCAGGGTCTTGGGGTTACCTAAGCCTGGCAATCCTACTTCGCGGGCCGGGCTCTGGGCCAGCGAGCGAGAGTGTGAAGCAGGGCCTTTAAAGATACCCTCATTCCTAAACCCTAAACCCTAAACCCTAAACCCTAAACCTTAAACCCTAAACCCTAAACCCTAAAACCCTCGAAGAGGAGTACGACGACTTCGGGCGGAAGAAGAAGCGCCCACGCCTCGGCACAGCGGGTGTTTCTCCATGATTGCGTCCTGGTACAAGACCTGGCTGCTTAAAGGTAGTCCTTGAAGACCGAAGATGACCTAGCCCAAAATCCCCTAATCCTGGACCCTAAGCCCGCTTAGGCCCTAAAACCCAAAACCAAAGCCCTCAGAGTCATTTTCTGTAGATCATCGCAAGAAAAGGCTCTATTGGACCCAGAGTAGGCCGTTATTGCCTTTTTTTTTTTTGGGGGGGGGGGGGTTAGGTTCCCTTACAAGCCCCTGTAAACCAAAAAGGGCACCCTTCTTGTTCCTAGGCTACTCTTGGGTCGAGGGTTCTAAGGGTAGTTTCATGGGCCTTTTATTAATACGGTCCCCAACCTCCTTTAAAGGGCCCTTGAAATTGTGCAGGGTGAAATTACCCTAAGAAGGGTTCTGAACCAAGCACGCCCCAACTCCAATCCGCCTAAGCCCTAAACCCTGCACCCTAAACCCTAAACCCTAAACCCTGCACCCTAAACCCTAAACCCTAAACCCTAAACCCTAAATTACTAAACCCTAGACCCTAAACCCTAAACCCTAAACCCGCTTCGCCGAAGGCCGGTCGGGCGACGCCCCCGCTGCGAAAGTGCCGGCACAGAGCTCCAAAGGCCAACGGCTTAGGGGGTTTAAGGGAGGTCTTCTCAAAACTATTTTCGGGTTTTTCGGGGGGCTTTTAGGCGGCTTTACGGGGTTTCAGCGGGGTTTTAGGGGGGGGTTCAGGGGGTGTTTAAGGGATTCTGATTCTACGTTTCGGGTTTAGGGGCCAAGCGTCCTCCTCAAGCAGGCGATCGGCAACAAGCTGCCCTGGAGCGCCTGCGGAGGCTGGGCAAGTGGGCGGGGGCATTAGCCAAGGGTTTAGGGTTTAGGGTTTATAGGGTTTAGGGTTTAGGGTTTTCATTTGTGCAGGTTACCTAAGACCTCTGCTTGGGTAACTATCGCAGAAGCCACAAAGCATGGTTTCGGCATGCGCTTCTGCACGCTGTGGGTGGCTCGCGCAGAGGGGTCATGGGGGCCTCGTGGCTTCGTCTTCGGGTTTAGGATTCAGGGTCCCTGACCCCAAGACCTTTACCCCCACAACCCTCAACTCTTTGGCTTGCAAGACTTAGGTGGGGATGCTTCCCTTTATACTACCAGTCCTTAATGGGGATTATCGTCCCCCCCCCCCCCCTATTATAATCCCCAGCTGTTCGTATAAGGGAACATCCCAACACTTAGGCATCTTTCCGTGTCTTTAAATGGGTGGCTCAAATGGGTGGCTTTGGGAAGGCCATGGGGAGGCTGAAAGCAGAAGCATGGGAAGCGATGGGATTCTTAAGGGAGGGGAGTTCATGGGGGGTAGGTACCTGGGGACCTGTAGGGAAGCTTAGGGAGCCTTAGGGAGTAGTAGGGAATATTGGATACCTCCCTAAGAACCCTACAAAGAAGCCAGCGGTCGCCGTGACCGCTCTGATCTCTCCCAGGAAAGGCCGCAAAGACAACGACTGAGTTGACGGCCGCTGGCGGCCTGCTCAGATGTTACAAGGGTGAAGGGTGTTTAGGGTTTAGGGTTTAGGGTTTAGGGCTTAGGGCTTAGGGCTTAGGGCTTAGGGGTTAGGGTTTAGGGTTTAGGGTTCAATACATAAAAAAAGCCCCTCAAAGCCCGGAGGCCCCCCAAAGCGACCGACTAACCACCCCTAAGCCCAAAGAAGCCTTAAACTCCTAAACCCTTTGTATTCCCTGAAACCAAATGCCCTAAGTCTGTAATCCCTGCCTTGCCTTCCCGTAAGCCCAGGGCCCGATAGGGTTTGCGGTGTAGGGTTCAGCGATCAATGCCTAAGTCATCGGAAAATTCCCGGCAAACGGCCGCTTTCACAAGTGGGAACCTGAAGATTCTTAGATTCTTGGAGTTCGACGATGTTCGACGCCATGGCCAAGTCAGTATTGTCTGGCTTCGAGGCCGAGGTCAGGGAGGTGGTTGACGAGGTTTTGGCCCAGGCGAGGGGCGAGATACAGGAGGTGGTTGACGAGGTTCTGGCGCAGACGAAGGTGGAGCTCTTGGTCAGGCTTCAGTCCCTATTCCAGTCAGCAGACGGGCGATCAGCAGGCCAGCTGCACAAGCTGCCTGCTGACTCTGGCCACAGAAACGAGGTGGCATCGCTGCCTTCGCGCACAGATGCGACGCAGGAGCTTCGGCTTGAAGGTGCAAAGGCGTTGCTGGTTTCGCACAGCATGGACAGTACTGACGATGACGAGGGTTGGCTTGGTTTGGGCAGCGAGCTTTCCACTCAGGACTGCCAAAAGTCCAGTGATGCAAGTATCCTGCAAGAGTATGAGGGAAACTGGAGCCTGACCCAGGCGGAGGCTGACGCGATGAACATTCAAGCCGAGTTGCTCGAGGATGTCGAAGCTCCATGCACGCCTCGAAGGCAGGAAGAGCCGCAGGAGGGCGTCTTGACACCCGAGATGGCGAATCCGGTCAGGCCTGCTTCTGCCCGGCCAGCTGAGCAGGAGGATGCGGCGGCGCGGGTGTTGCAGGAAGCAAAGGCTGCCGAAAGGCTAGCTGAGGTGGCTATCATGTCTGAATCCATGAACGGCTATGTGGCAGAAGCCTACAATGAGCATGAGCTGAAGCTGCTGGTCACTGGCCTTCCAACGCAGCAGAGCGATGATTCTAGTTCCCAGCTCAATGTGGTTCAGCAGCCGCAGTGTCAGTCGGACAATCTTGAACGTTCGCCTCCTTTCGACCGCGGACCTCACCACCCTGGCAGCTTGAGCAGCCCTGATGACGCCCCCGTTTGGCTTTACATGTATGACCTCACGGAGGGAGTGGCAGCTCGCTGGTCCCCTTGGATCTTTGGCTCCCACATAAAGGGGATCTGGCACACCTCGATTGTGGTGGACTGGGGGGCAAGACTTGTCGAGTACTATTTGGACGGCGTCCCTTGTTGCACGCAGGGTGCCGAGAAGACAGCGTGGGGAAAAGTTCACGAGAAGAGGTTTCTGGGCTACACGTCCAAGACGAGACTTGAAACATGTCATTTTGTGAAGTCTTGTCGACAAGACTTCGCAGAGGAATCGTACCACCTATTGTGGAACAACTGCAACCACTTCTCAGACTTGATGCGCCGCTTCTTGCAGGATCAGTCCCTGCCGGAAGATATCTTGCTGCAACATGAGGTGGTCCTGGAAAACAGGGTAATTCAGCTGGCGGCACGATGGCTACGTATACTCTGACATCGGCTGTCGAAGCTGGATGAGCTGGCCTTTGCAGGCCTTTGCAGGCATGGCAGGAGGCCTCTTTGGTGGCTTCCCCGTTAGACATGGCGGAGCCCGAGCTCCGGCCTACGCTCTGCTGCGACTGCAGTACAACGGCTGGATCTGGGAAATGCTCTTGGCTTGCTGTGCAGCATCCTGTTCTTCTGTGGCGAAGGCCAAAAACTCTGCGCCGAGGGCAAGTCGACGATTTCACAAGTGACTTCCAGGCATCGGTCGGGATCTGCGAAGCATCCTCGACTCATGAGGCACCCGGCAAAAGTGCAGCTCTCAGCTCCAGGTGACATTCTTGAAGTGAATGCCTGGGCTTTCTAGAGAACTTCCTCCACTGGGCCCGAACACCCTCTTGGAGACCTGCCTTCGAGCAGTGCGGTCGAGGTCGGAGCCTCGGCGATGGGGCTCACTTGTGCCTGACTCGGAGGCCGAAAAGAGCGCCCCCCAGAGTGTGCTCGATAGCAGGGTTGAGGGTTTTAAGGTTTTTTTTAAATCGGTATTTTCTAGTTAATATTTTGAGGTTTACAGGTTTTGTTTGGGGGGGGGGGGGGGGGGGGTGGTGATTTTTTTTTTCGGGCTTATAGGGTGTTTCAGGTTTACAAGTAGGGGTTGTAGGGTTTGTAGGGTTTAGGCTCTCCCTCAGCCTTGTAAGCCCCAAAACCCGAAGCCCCAAAAAATCGCATGGCCTTCCCCCCGAGGCTTCATTCGAAAGCACCAGTGCTGAAGAAGCGCCGAGGAGAGACGAAAAATGTGGCTCCACACCGCGCTTGTTGTGGAGCTGTCTCCTACCGTCTCTAAACCCCAAACCCCCAAACTTCTGAACCCTACAGGCCCCCGACCCTTGAAAACCCTAACCTTGAACCTTCTAAGCCCCAGAAGGAAGCAGTAGAGGCCCTTTCCCAAGGGAAAGGGTCTCAAGCTCCGCGTTTGGTTTCTTCAGCCAGGATGGCACAGGGGCGGGGTGTGCTGCCAGAATTGATGTTTGAATCGAGGCCAGGAAGCCCAAAAGATCAAGCCCCACTCCCCCCCCCCCCCCCCCAAACCTTAGAAGTCCTAAAGCTGGGGCTTTGGGGGTATTGGCTCGTTGATGGATGGCAGGAGCATCTCACTGACATCACGCCCTGCTACCTGCTCTACTGGACGCCGCGACACCTCGATGACCGAAGCCAGTAAGAGCCACCCTCCCCTCGCCAAAAAGATCCTCCTCCCTCGTTTCAGAAGACAGTTTCGATGATTCTGGCACCTAGACGGTTCCATCCCTGCAAGAGAGATGGGCCCTGCAGCCTAAAACCCTATTCTCTGACCCCAAAGCCCCAAAGAACGAGCGTTACTAGGGCATCGGGGGTAGGAAGGAGGAGGATCTCAAACTCCAGGAGCGCAGAAGCGAGCTGGTTGAGATTTCTGTCCCTGCTCTCACAGCTACACAGTTTTTTCGGGTTAAGTGTTTTTAGGGTTTAGGGTTTAGGGATGAGGGTTTTAGAGGGTTTAGGGTTGAGGGTTTGTAGGGTCTAGGTGGGTCTGGACAAAAGCCGCTCCACGGGCCCTTCAACGCCCAAACGAGAGGCGAAGCGCCTCTTCCGTGGGCAGCACAGCGAGAAAAGACGGCACTTGTGATCGGGTTTAGGGTTTAGGGTTTAGGGTTTAGGCTTTAGGCTTTAGGCTTTAGGCTTTCGGCTGTACGGTTTAGGGTTTAGGGTTTAGGGGGGCTTTCAAGAAGCTCGTCAGGTCTTCAAGCACTTTGGTCAAGTATCTTGCGCTGGGATGCTGGCTTAGCAGGGCCCTCCCCGTCAGGAAAGCTTCCAGGAGCCCTAGAGGCCCCAAACGCTCTAAACGCAGGCAAGCACCGAAAAGAGGCCCCCTCGCCCGTTCGCCCCCCTTCCCCACTTCCCCCCTTCCCCACTTCCCCCCTTCCCCTTCCCCTTCCCCTTCCCCCCCCCCCAAAAAAAAAGAAAACTCTCGAACTCCCTACCAAGAACCAGCAAGCTTTGAGGCGCATGACAAGACCCTAAAACCTCCAAAGGCCCTAAACCCTAAACTCTAAACCCTAAACCCTAAAACCTCAAAAAGCGCTGTTGGGGAGGCCTGCTACAAGCTCGAGCATTCGGGTGACTTAGTGCCGGTGGATGAGTTCGTGGCCAGATGCTTACGGCGCAGAACAACACCAAGATTTGCATGGCATGTGTATATGTATATACACATGTATACATGCAAATATATATATATACACATATATATATATATATGTATAAAGTATGTGTGTATAATATATATATATATACACACACATATGTTTCTTATATGTATGTGTAATTTATGTATGTTTTAGGGTTTAGGGTTTAGGGTTTACCCTGACCAAAGGGGTCCTCCAAATGTACCAGATTCTACCCCCGAAACAAGATGTTCATGAGGGGAATGTGTTCTGGACCCTAAGCATCCCAAAGGATTTCGAAGCCCGAAACCCCAGGGTTTTGTGGAACCCTGGGTCCTAAACCCTGATGCATCACCCCTAAACCCTAAACCCTAAACCCTAAACCCTAAACCCTAAACCCTAAACCCTAAACCCTAAACCCTAAACCCTAAACCCTAAACCCTAAACCCTAAACCCTAAACCCTAAACCCTAAACCCTAAACCTAACCCTAAACCCTAAACCCTAAACCCTAAACCCTAAACCCTAAACCCTAAACCCTAAACCCTAAACCCTAAACCCTAAACCCTAAACCCTAAACCCTAAACCCTAAACCCTAAACCCTAAACCCTAAACCCTAAACCCTAACCCTAACCCTAAACCCAAAACCTAAACCCTAAACCCTAAACCCTAACCCCGAAACCCTGAACCCTGAACCCTGAACCCTAAACGCCTAAACGCCCCAAGCCCAAAACCCCTATAAGCCAGAAACCCTTATGGCGCTTCCCATGAAGGTGTCCTCTTCGGTGCCCTCGGCTGTGACCAGCTTTGACGGCGACAACGCGGCCGAGGCCCGAAAGCGAGGTGGCACCCTTCGCCCATAAGCCCTAAACTGAAGACCCGGTCCCCCTCCCTAACAATCGGTCGAGGGTTTAGGGTTTAGGGTTTAGGGTTTAGGGTTTAGGGTTTAGGGTTTAGGGTTAAGGGTTAAGGGTTAAGGGTTAAGGGTTAAGGGTTAAGGGTTTAGGGTTTAGGGTTTAGGGTTTAGGGTTTAGGGTGTGTCAGGGGAGGGCGCGCGCTCGGGTGTGAAACACCCCGGGCCGCGCGCTCGCGTTGCCCGTCAACCCACCCCGGCCGCCCAAACTATACTCTATTAGGGTTTAGGGTTTATGGAATTTACTTTCTTGTGCCCCGATGCTTGCTTTGATGTTTTTAAAGTTGCGCTGTTAGGGTTTAAGCTGGGGTTGGGGGTAGCCTCGGCCCTTTTCGGGCCTTCGGCGTGTCAGGGCCCGTAGAGGCCCTTATTTATTTGAAGGTCAGGGAAACCCTTTGTGCCTGCTCATGGATTCCCCTTCTTTAAGGGCCTCAATTAAGCATCGGTTTCACTACCAAAAAATCGCATTTTTCATTGCGGGTACGGGCATCCTGGGGTCCCCCTTCTTTTCGGGTGCCTTTTGAAGCCTTTTGAAGCATTTTGGTGGCTCTTGGGGTCTCTCGGGGCCTTGTTCGGACCTTCGGCGTGTCAGGGGCCGGAGAGGCTTTATTCATTTAAAGGTCAGGGAACCTATTAATGAGTTTTTCGCCAATGAGTATTTCAATCGCTAGGGTTTAAGCTCGGGTTCGGGGTAGCCTCGGCCCTTTTCGGGCCTTCGGCAAGTAGAGGCCCTTATTTGCTTGAAGGCCTTCGCAGGGTTTTGCGGTGTCAGGGTTTAAGCTGGGGTTCGGGGTAGCCTCGGCCCTTTTCGGGCCTTCGGCACGTTAGGGCCCGTAGAGGCCCTTATTTGCTTGAAGGCCGTAGGGTTTTGCGGTTTAGGCTGGGGTTCGGGGTTGCCTCGGTCCTTTTCGAGCCTTCGGCACGTCAGGGCCCATAGAGGTCCTTGCTGATTTGGGGAATCATCGATTCCAGTACCAAAGAGAACATTTTTCATTGCGGGCAGGGGTGCCTAAAACCATCGTTTTCAATATTCAAAAATCGCATTTTTCATTGTGGGCACGACAAATCTTGTGGTCCCCCTTCTTTTAGTGGGCCTTTTGAAGCTTTTGAAGCCTTTTGCGTTTCTTGGGGTGGAGTTCCGAACCCCTTTGGGGATGCTTGGCCGGGCCCTTGGCCCGGGGCCTTGGCTCGGGGGGCACGCTTGGCCGCCTGGGCGGGGTTTTGGGCCGTGAGGGGGCGCGCTTGGCCCCGGAGGCCTTGAGAGGTTCGGGGCCTTGTGCGGGGCCTTGGCGCCGGTGGCCCGGAGGGAGGCCCTTGGCCCGGGGGGCCCTTGGCCGGGCCCTTGGCCCGGGGGGGCCCTTGGCCCGGGGGCCCTTGGCCCGGGGGCCCTTGGGTCTGGGGGGGCCCAGCCCCCAAAATCAGGAAATTGAGCAACCAACCCAACCAACCTGCCTCAACCCCTCGCCAGCCTCCTGGTCCAGGAATCCAGCTACCAGGGACCAGGGGGCCCCCGGGGGGGGGGGCCCGACAAACCCTGAACCCAAAACCCTGAACCGACCTCCAGAGGCAAAGGGTTACGATTTGGGGTTATACTTTAGCTACGCTAAAGGTGGTCTGGGTGCCGGCCATCCCTTAGCAGAGTACTGACGTTGTCGTAAAAAAGGCCGATGTCCGTTGGCCTGTCCAGGACAGACGGTGAGGCTTAACCCTCACCTTTCCGTTTCTCTTTTCGCTTGGGCGCCCGGGCTGTAAGGCCCTCGGCCGAGCGTTCGGGGTCTGTCGCTCGACGGAAGCGACCCCTCACTTAGTTTAGGGTTTAGGGTTTAGGGTTTAGGGTTTAGGGTTTAGGGTTTAGGGTTTAGGGTTTAGGGTTTAGGGTTTAGGGTTTAGGGAACTAGTGGTATTCC